TGAACAGGTTTTTGTATCTTACTTTCGTGTCATTGCTAGAACAACAAGACAGATACATCTTGTTTAGACAGTTGATAGAGTAAAACTATTATAACTGTGTATGAATTCTTAAAACTTGTTTGTGGATATATGCATTTTAAAGCACTAGAAGTCTTCTGAGATAAAAAGAAAATCTACCACTAAGGATTCTCTTAGCATGAATAAAATAACATGATTATGAAGCTCTTTGAAGGTTCAGCCTTAAAAAATAGAATATGTGATGGCATGCCCACAAGAAAATGGTCATTCTGATCACATTAATTGATGAGAAAAGTCCTATCCGAAAGTCTTCAGTGTTGTTTATTCTTTTCTTTGTTTTGTCATGGGGTTCTACTCTAATTAAATAAATCTTGTTTAAAGAAAGGACTTAATTATCATTTTCTGCAATAAGCAGCTCATTTATTGATATTGTTACGTATATGCTTGTTTGTTAATTTCCGGTAGAAATTCTTTCCGAAAACTTCAGCGATACAAGTCCTGTCTTGATTGAAACTAGTTTATTCTTTCTTGATACAACTTTGTAATACACAGAATTTCCACAGTCACTTTAACTTAACTACTTTTATAAACACATGCTATAATTCACAGCGATTCACACACTTTATTTAAGGTGCCTACTGTTCGTTTGACTCAATTATCTATATCTCCAATCTATCTATCTCTAACTTTGCACTGGATTTTCTCGGCAGGCTTTTATACTAAAAAAGAGGGCACCTGGCAAACACTAGGACATTCGCGGAGTTCCTCAATAATTCATGATCCTTCTAGAAACTACAGCGTTGTGTGACTTCCGCTGTCGTAACAATATATATATATATATACACGTGTGTAAAATATATAAGCTTTATCAAATCAGTTATGTCCATATGAGGAAAAAAATCCATGTTTTTAAAAGATAAAATTGTATGGATTAATTAAAACAATGTGATGTGTTAACTGGCACGTGTCTAAAAGGTTTACACTTTATTAGATTAGACTGATGACAAGGATGATGTAAGAAAATACTTAACCTTCTTCATATCATTCACGAGAGAGTAACATCTAAGAAGTTTAATTGTGGTCAAGTCAACAATGAGCACATTGTCTATTAAAGTTCTGTTATATTGCATGTTTGAATATTTAACTCCATTGTTAGGAAATAATATTATTTGTATATAAATAATTAAAAAATGATAATAATAAGATTGTTGTTTTGTTGTTGAACTGTTTTACTACTGGAAACTGTACACGAAAATTACAATATAATAGACTTTTGTAAGTTTGTAGAGAACACGTAAGTGTGTTCACTGTATTTGAGATTAAGCATTGCCCAGTGGTAGACTGTAGATCTGCTGGTATCAATCCCGTAGCCAGGTGCGGAGGGGGGTGGGGTCATTTTGGTCCAGAGTGGAACTCGTTTCATGTGAAACTTTAGTAAGTATGAAAATGTATCTGCATGTAGCACAGTGTTACAAAAGCAATTATATAATGAGAGGTCATCATCAAAGAAAGTGAGAAAAATTAATGATAATAGACAAAAGAAACCCTTTTGGGGGGAGGGGTTGTTCGTGCGTAAATATTATATATATATATATATATATGTACCATAATGTTGCGTATCTTCACGTTTGTTAATTTCTGGTATAAATTCTTTCCGAGGAACTTCAGCGGTACAAGTCCTTTCTTAATTAAAACTAGTTTATTCGTTCTTGATACAACTTTTTAGTACACAGAATTTCCACAGCCACTTTAAACTTAACAACCATTATAACACACGCTATAAGTCACAGTGATTCAGACACTTTACTTACTGTGCCTACTGTTCGCTTAACTCAATTATCTATCTGTCTCTGTAATTGCGCTGTTTTTTCTCGCCATGCTTATATACTAAAAAAGAGAGCGCCTCGAACAAACTAGAGTTGCCAGGAAAATTTATGATCCTTCCAGAAACTCCAGCGCGCATGCTCCCAGCATCGCGTGACTTACGCTGTCGTAACAATAGGGTTCCACCGTAAATATATATAAAAGAGAAACACATTATTAGGGAGTTTACCTCGTTATGTACAAACTGTGACGGGCACTCGCAGTTGAATACAAAATCTACTACACATTTAAAAATTAAATGTGAAAATAAATATACACCCTAACATTTTGTTTTAAAGTACTGTTGATTCTACAATTTGAATCTCCCGCGAATTCTCGCCTGTCTGCTGCTGAAGATCTGTAAACAAGTAATAAATAACGGCCATAAAAATGTCACATGAGCGCGCCAACCAACTCGCGCAAATGGACTTACGTCCCCCCCCCCCATCATATCAGGTTACGCCTAGTCATCGTTTTCTCCAATTGATATAACTTGTGCTCAACGTATAAGGAAGCTATTTGTATCAGTACTACTGAGTTACGCATGAAATTTGTCATGACTATCGCTTTTAAAATAATTAACTTTTAACTTGTTATGAAAACTAAATAATAAATCACTAAATGAAGTAAATGATAACTCTTACACTAAATAGTCTTGAATATCCAACAATCCTCAGAGAATGGACAATTTAGTGCTGTTTTATTTGCATATTAGGAATGTTCAAGGGACCTAGCACTCGAGGGATGGGTTAAGTTATATTTTTAATGTTTTAATTTAGATTCTTGCTAGAGGGCATACAAAGTTAAAAATCGAGAAAGTTCATAAAAGCAGTGAGTCCAGGGTTTATTTTAATGTGCAGTACTAAAATTTATAATAAAAACTCCAATGTCATATAAAGAAACAAGAAGCCAATGCATGACCATGATACTGAAAACCAAAAGTACCTTTATTTACTGTTTATATGACAAGAAGTATGTTTTTAATTTTACATATGGTGATTAGAACTTTGTTTTAAAATTTTGGTCAAATACTAAGATGGTTAAAATTTAAAACACTGTGTTTATATGACAAGAAATATATTTTTAGTCTTACATATGTTGAATAGTACTTTAGTTTACATTTTGTGTCAAATACTACAATACTACATGAGCTTACAAGGTAAACGATGGTTCAAAGACTTAAAACACTCGCAAATGCAAAACCATGCTGAATTGTACTTTAATTTACATTTTATGTCAAACACTACATGGTAAAAGACGGCTAAAACAGTAAAACTTTCATAAATTCAAGATTTGCCAATAATGCCAAGTTGTATCGAGCTTATAATTTAAAAACAAATGCTTCTCAGACTCTCAAACACTGGGTCATGGCACATGCCTCAAAGATTTGTGCAGTTCTAAAATTACCTTAAAATAAACCCTGAAGCAGTTTTAAAATATAGAAACTTCTTAAACCTGCGGAAGTGTAGGAGGCAAATTAAAAGTGGGGGTGGACTAATTTTACTTGACACAGAAAAGTGAGGGGAATGTTTGTTACAGGTACATTTATTATGGCTGGGATCCAAGGTTTCTGGATTACATTTTATGCATTCTCCTGCTTTTCCTCAGAATATTTTTTTAAATTTTGATACATTTTTATTTGGACAGATTGAAAAATGGGTGACCGCCTCCTACACCACCGACTTGATAGTAATAAGAGTTCAGTTTACATACAAGAATCGATTGATATTGTTGCGTCATCGAGATCACGTGATTCTCACGCTCTCTACTTTCTAGAACTATCCCGTACTTTGGCGAATGCTCTAGTATTTACTAGTTATAGGGTAGTCGGGTATATATAAGAGGGGACAACGTGACGCGGTAATGTAATGTGTGACAGTGAGTAATTGAACTGCAGTCAGAGAGCACGAGAGACGTTATAGCGTTTGTTTAGCGCGATTGTTGAAGTTGAGTGTATCGGTAAAGTTATATTCGGGAAGAATAAACCAGTTTTATTAAGAAAGGACTTGTGTCGCTTAAGTTTCGTCGGAACGAAGTTACGGAAAATCAATTTACAAACAGAGACGTAACAATATTATTTAAATAGTTGAGGATGGAGTGGAGGCCGATTAAACAAAAGAGTTAGTGTTCTGTAATCTAATCAGTAAGTCAGAGTTTGTTATCAAGCAAGGAAATTAATGTTAAATTTTAATTTAAGCTACCAAAAAACACTGCCCTATGGGCGGCTGTTTGTGCTAGTAATTACTAATGGTAGTATTCCTACCTCATTGAAAAAATTAGTCATACACAACCCATTGCATCAAAATGATTCAATGTACTGAGCTCAAAATTTTAATGATATAAACTGTAATATTTTTATATATTAAAAATGCTACCCCTTATTGAAAAAATAAGTTTTTTTAAGACCACAAATTGATTAGTACTATATTTACAAATTACATTAATAAAGCTATAATCAAACCCTCACGTACAGTCCTAGTGAAAGTCGTGTTCTAGTTGTGAGGAGAGTACTTTATTTCCGTATAGTGACCTTGGACCTTGCTCTCGTACAGTTGGAACTCACAGAGGTAATTAATAAAAACACACGTTTCTTTTTAAAAATTCATTAAATTTAGAGATTTCTCACACTTACCTTCTTTCTAGTGTTATTTTTGTTTTCTGCTATTATATTTCTTCAAAACTTAAACTGTGTATATACTTTACTTTCATTTTCTACAAACTCTCATTTAATCGTTGTTGTTTTTTTAGTTTTACTACTGGAACGAACGTGGCCACATTAATTAGCGTGTCAGACTGTGGATCCAAGGTTAAATGGTCAAATTTCATTATTCGGGATGACAAAAGTTGGCGGTGGGTGGTATTGACTAGCTGCCTTCCCTCTAGTCTATCATTTCAAAATTTGGGACGACTAGTGCAGATAGTCTTTGTGTGGCTTTGCGCGAAATTTAACAAAACAAACGAATATCTTTTACTACTCTTCGCGTATTCGTTACACAGCGAAAACACTACAGATCGTCCAATTGGTCACTAATTGTTTAATTTAATTTAATTTTTGAACCAGTCGCGTGTGTGCAACTTTCTGACGTAAACTATGAGGCAATAGAAAACCATACTGCCTCCAGTAACAGAAAAGAACAAGTTGAGATACAACAGTGAAAGGATTTTATTTTTCGGCTTCTGCAGAAGAAAACAAGACAGCCGTTTGTGACGATAGAAGAACTGACAACTAGGTGTCTCTCAAAGTAGGTAATATTATATTGTTGTTTTAATTTTCGATAATTGGTGATACTTAAATTAAAAATAAACAAAAGTATTAGCCATATTATTCTCATTATAGGTGAGACAGCGTCCTCTACACTTACATTTAACCCATAACCAGGGCCCGACTCTCGAAATCTCAAGTGGCAACACACCTTCGAAACAAACTTCTTATCAAACTGTTGTTGACAAACGGACGCCATAAAAACTTTCATAACATCTTTGTTTCGCTGTTTTTATGTATACTCTTATCTCCGTGCAGTTTTTCAGCTGTATACTTTAACGTCAAGGGCAGTGAATTTTGTGATATTAACGTTGTAAAAAGACGGAGATTAAGTTTAAGATAAAAGTGACATGAAAGGATCGTCAAGTTAATATAATGTCAGTTGTTTATGACGGTGATGTATCACACCAATTGTTCGCTATATCTTAAACTGTGAAAGGAAGATCTTATCAAGCAGAATTTGAGATAATTAAACGTTTCCTCCCCAAGGACGTCCTTTGACAACGAGAAGCCATATTTTAGTAGTTTGATTTGTTAGTGCACTTAGTTGGTAGTGGTTACATCTTTGGTAATAGATGCTATTTGTTAATCAACTTTATATACAATTTAACAACTATTGAATTTTTATAGTTCTAAGTCCAAATGTGGGCCATCCTTGCAGTTATTTTTGTATTTTCCTTCTACTATCTTCTGACGACGAAGGCCTTACCACCTTTACATGGTGTGTACAGCCTACCAGGCAGATATTTCCTGTTAAAGAAGTTTGTGAGTTTTTTCTACCTGAAAATCAGGAGATTGATTATTAGAAAAAGATTTGATTTATACGACCTATATGACCTGACAGATTTGGTAAAGAGTGGATGTATGCCTCCAGCAGAAGAGACAGCATTAGAAGCACCTCAGACTGCAAACCATGTAGCTACCAACTGCGATGAGGTCTTTTTCTGTGGTGTGAAGTCCACAGGGGAATGTCTGGTGGTCAAGATGTCCAGGCTACCAAATAAGATGGCGGAGATCATGGTTTTAATAAAGACAGCTGATGGGAGACGTTACAGCTATCCTGAAGGACCAACAAAAGAAATATACACTGGAAATATTAACGAATTCATCGGCGGAGGGTTAGAGTTGAAATGTATAAGTGCCATGAGAAAATGGAGAATTTCTTTTAATGGACTTTTAAGAGAAACTCGTCAAGGTATTTGTGAATCCAAAGTGTTGCATGTCAAGTTCAGTTTCATTTGGCAAACAATGTCGAATGTTTATGACTTAACTAATGACATAAACTTAAGTGAAGTGGCTGAGGCATTAGCCAAAGAGCCATGGTCTGGTTACTTGCCAGACGTTAACAGGTTCCAAAGGGTCCTAGATGTGTACGAACAAGGAGGACAACTTCTAGGAAGTGTTACAGTAGAGGGAATAGAAGAAGAGTTTATCTTGTGGGGAATAAGAAAACGTTCTTTAGGACCCACAGTTCAGTTACATCGTTGTGTTGATTTCTTTGGTTTTACCAAGAATGGTAATTTATTCCATGTGGGTGCTCTGTCATTTCCTGGAATTGTAACCAATCTTGTATATGGACATTACATTCATTCTAATGGGATGTATTTCCATATCAGATCATGTAACTTCAAACTTCACCTAGCAGCAGAAAATAAACAAATACCTCATTTTGAGAGGTTTACTTTTAAAGCTGGTCACAAAGACATTCATTGTACCATAACATTTGAAACACACTTGTGTAATTTTACCAATAGAACCACACAACAACATTTCAAATATTCTACCATTACTATGAATGGCTATCAAGGATCTGGGATATCTGTGTTTGTATATGGGATGACCAAACCTTCTATTGCGCCTATTCCTTCTCCACTAGACATCTTTCACAGTCAAGAATCACCCATGATAAACCAACTAGCATTAGATTTTGATCATACTAATTGTCAACTTACAAGACTTGCTGGAGGAAAAGGTTCTTCTCTGGGCAAGTTAACGAAAATTTCTCACTATACAAGCTCTTTTGTTGTCCCAAAAGGTATTGTTGTTACAACTTCAGCATATAAGGAATTCATAAAAAAAGGTAATTTACATGAAGTAATAATGACCCTTGAGGAGGTTGCATGGTGTCATGTTACAGGGAACTTGAAAGAAATTTGTGAACGTGTGGTGAGGGATGTTAGTAAAACTAAGCTTCCTGCAGAAGTATCTGAAGCTATTCAGAAGAAAATGCTCCTGATCTTTGGGGGAAATTTGGATAACCTCAGATTTGCTGTTAGGTCTTCAGCATCAGGTGAAGATTCAGATGAAATGTCAGCAGCTGGACAGAATGAAACCTTCTTGGGGGTTAGAGGACTTCCACAGGTCATAGAAGCTGTGTCCAAATGTTGGGCTTCTCAGTTTTCATATGTTGCTGTTGAGTATAAACGACGCAATGGTCAGTTGCTAAACTCTCCTATGGCAGTAGTTATTCAAGAGATGGTTCCTGCTGAAGTTGCAGGAGTTATGTTTACTTGTGATCCAGTGACTGCTAACCCATCAGTTATCACCATTTCAGCTAACTATGGGCTTGGAGAAACTGTTGTTTCTGCTGCTGCTGAACCTGATACTATATTTTTAGATAGGGATTACACCAACAAAATAACATACCGGTCAGTAAGTATTGGTAAGAAAAACATCTGTACTGTTGTAGAACCTGATGGTGAAATAAAAGTAGCAGCAGCAACTGGGGACTCTTCACAATCATGCCTTTCAGAGTCTACAGCTTTAGCACTAGGAAAAGTTGGTATCTTGGTTGAAGAATATCTTACTAGTCTCAGAGACATTGAATGGGCTATTATTAATGAAAACATTTATCTACTACAAGCCCGACCGGTGACGTCGGCTCATACGGAGACAGAATTTGAGATTACTCACGAAATGGATGCACCCTTAAAAAGTGAAGATGAATTTCTCAGCAAAGCTAATGTTGGTGAGGTTATGCCTGGAGCTATGAGTACGCTTGGGCTTATAGTTAATCTATATAGTTTTGAAGCATCTTTTAAGCAAATGGCATTAGAATTTGGATTCCCATCTGAAATGTTCTCTCCCTATACTGCCCAAACTTTTTCATGCAAGTTCAACCATATTTTCTATGATATGGTTAGTGATCCATACTTAGGTAGTGAAAATAATATGGCTGCTGGTTACAAGGTGGCATTGTTTGGTTCGCTAATACGTGATAAAGAACTAACAGATCGTATTAATGACAGATGTAGCATGATGAATATGTCTTTACCAATGAAGTTAAGACAGGCCTTTGTCATGGGTAAGGGTCTACTATTAGGTGAGCAAAATTTTAGAACTTTGCAAAAGAAATATGCTGACAGTGATCTCCCTCTGAACTATAAAGAGGCAGATGGTATGTACAAGTTCATTGGTCAAAATATTCTAAGTATTACTAACAAACCAATTTTATGTCATTCTAGTTGCAGTGTGAACTCTATGTTATGGAATACATTTGTTTTAAACTTGTTGGTATCAGCAGAAAAAGAGTGGAATACAAAAGTGTTTTCAGATTTTGGTTACCTTCTATCCACATGTACCAACATTGAGAGTGCTGATGTTCCATCAACTATAGAAAAACTGGTGCTAGATATTAGTAAAGAAATTGACAAAGATGAGTTTCTAAGCATGACTCCAGAAACTGCTTCGAGGTGGTTAAGTGTCAGTCAATCTAAAGCTGGGGAGGCTTTTCGAGAATTCCTTCGTAATCATGGACATCGTTGTGTGAAGGAATTTGACATCTACTCTAAGCCCTGGGCAATTGATCCAACACATATTGTTCAGTCTCTACAAACTCTAATTGTAACAGCTGATGATGACTTTGTACAGAACAAAGAAGTCAGTGAAGAAAAAACAATTTCCAATCTTCAGGTATCTTTATCTTGGTGGCAGAAATTGATTTTATGGTTTCTTTTACCTCGAGTAAGATCTGGTGTCCGGCTCAGAGAATCCTCCAAATCTTTCGTAATAAAAAAATATGATGCTTTACGCAGAGCTTACAATCATCTTGCTACACTGATGGTGAAAGAAGGATATTTACCTGATGCTTGTCTCCTGTTTTTCTTGACTCACGAAGAAATTGGACAGCTACTTCAGACCCGATCATCAAGGCTAATAAGTAAAGCAGTTCGTCGGCGGAAGATCCACCCTCAGTTGAATGCGCTACAATTTGCTGAAATAACTAGAGGAATAACTAAACCAGTAAACAAAACAGAGATGAAAAAACAAAATACTTCAAATACTTATATCATAGGTACACCAGTTAGCAGAGGAGTTATTCAAGGTCCAGTTAGAGTGGTGACTTGTCTAGAAAAAGCTGTTGAAATACAACCGGGGGATATCCTGGTCACATATAGTACTGACATTGGATGGAGTCCATATTTCCCACTTTTGTCTGGAATAGCTACTGAGTTGGGAGGACTAATTTCTCATGGTGCCGTTGTTGCCCGAGAGTATGGACTTCCCTGTGTGGTGGGACTTCATGGAGCTACAAGTTTCTTTGTTTCTGGAGAGATGGTCCAGCTTGATGGGAGCAGTGGACGGATAGAAAAATTAACTAGTTTAGAACATCCTCTGGATGCTAAAAGTATAACTGACAAATTATCATAGATATAGTGAAATTTATTGGTTATTAATTGTAAGTTTTGCATATCAAAATATTTACTTGGTAATTGGTTGATAAAAATTCTGAAAACATACAGCCCTTACTTGAAATCCTTGTCAAGTTTTGAAATTACATTCTATGCTGAAAATTAAATTACAAATCTGAATATTAACACAAATCAGGTTAAAAGTTTCAGCTAATAATGGTAGATAAAAGGTGATGTTGATTAAAATTACTAGTTTTAGGGTAATTGATTTTGTTAAAACAATGATTTGGTTCATATTTGAAAAATGGTTAACTTAATAAAAGTAATTAATGAAAATATTTGATCTAATTGGTTTTGAATCTTCGAAAGTTTCAGCATGAAAGCTTAAATGTTTAAACATGAAATATATAGCCTGATAGATGGAGATTGGAAAAATATCAGTTTACTTGTACAATGGTGTTATAAAAATAGTAGGAAAATTTTAAAACAAGTTTGTTTGAATATAAATAAAACGTTTTCAGAGTTTAGTTATTATGTAAAATGTGACTAAAGGGTTTATTATTTTGAGCTTTAATGTATGCAATTTATTTTTGAATTTTCTAGTATTGAGAGAGTAATTTTTACCATGCATTATTAATGTTTTACATTGATTATTGATTGGGTGTATTAGCCCTTGTACTGATTAAACGACTGTTGTTGAGATTACTTACAACAGATGCTAGTTTTTCTATTTGAAATATTGCACATCATTGCACACTGGATTTATAACAGATACGTGGTCATTTTCAGCTACCAAATTCCAAGAATATCATTAAGAAAGATAAAATACAGGACAGATTGTCAGGAGGAGAAATATTCTGTTACAGAAAAATTATTATCAATACTGATTTTCTCTCTATCTCTTCTCACCTTAAAAGTAAACTGAAAGTTAAGCATATTGGTTTTAAGCTCGCGATGCACCGACAGATTTCAGTCACCTTAACACTTCAAATCACTTTTCACAGCCCCAACACTAAAATAATATTGTAAATGCCTTCTTTCCAGCCAATAACAATGTCCAAAAAATTTCAGTTCAAATTAAGAAAAACCGTATTAGGTAGTTTTGTTTTGTTTTGTTTTTTTCAACAAAAATGTCCCCCCTTTTCACTGTCTCATGAGGGGCCTGTTAAAAAATAGGTGTTTTCATTAAAAGAAACTGATACGTACCTTCCTTCACCGTATTGGCCAAACACGAGGAGCATGGAAGTCTACAAATGACAAGCAGTGTTATTCTGGAATTCCTTAGAACCACCTTGGTAGAAATTGTGCAGCAAGCCAAATACAATATTATGCCTGTAGCTGCTTTCAAAGTGTTCGTGTCTGTTCATCCTACTGCTGACTATCGTGATGCTTTGACCTTCCCTACCAAATCGCAGGTGAAATCGTTTGTATTTCTCGACCGAAAGCTAAACATAAAATGGTGACAGCAGAAGTATAGAAGGTGTCAATTGCTTAATTAATTATGCTGAGAATGTTGCTTTATTGATATATACTGAATTTACCCCCAGTGGGTTGACCTTAGTACTAGCCAGTATGGAGACTTGAGGATGCTATATTTCATTTAAAAATTTATCAATTAACAAACGAAAACTTGTATCGAAAAGATATGTCCAAAACCACCCTCTTTGGGAGTTTCTGGATTGAACTTACTTCTAACATTCAACAAATTGTAGTGTAAAGACACCCCTTAGCTCCTAAAGGATGTGTTAATAAAACAAAGATTTTTTTTTGTACACAGTTCTAAAAATGAGACTGTTCCCAGTCTCAAAATTACAATAATATACTAAATAACTTACTGAACAGAATATAAGATGGAAACAGTCTCATACACTCACGTTTTGACATATTTTACTGCATTATCCTCAGCAGTGCAATGTTTTGAAAGAATAACACTTATTTACACCCTTACAAAATTACCGTAATATAATTTACATGTTAAAGAATTTCATGCCAACTGCTGACATTTCCATTATCATTATTCAATATTTTAAAGTTAATTTTTTTTTATATTTGAATATCTCAACAGATTCACGTTATATTTATACTAATAACATTTTCAGGTTGTTTTTTAATATTAATTATTACACAATGAATTTTAATAGTTCCTATACAAGTTGCCTTTGACTGAGGTAATATTTTTATGAGATGATTTACACAAGATGTTAGAAGTTGGCAGAATGCAAGTTTTAGAAATTATATCTACAAGATCCTCAGTTTTCTATTGCTGTCACTGTGTATAAATGGTGCAGTGGTACGTTATAAAGCTGTTAAAAGTTTACTTGTGATCAATAACCCATCAGTTATAACCACAGCAGCTGTAGACTTAAACTATATAGCTGTTGGTGCTAGGCCTGAGACATTAGGTTAGGACTCCAAAAATATAAAATGTGCACGTCAGTTGTGGTAAGAAGAACATTCATGTTTTATGGTATTATGATGGTGATATTTCCCCCCAATAAAAATCTACAAAGCCCTTCTAGTGACACATGCTGCTCAGTATATGCCTTTACACTGGCCAGTAGTTCAAAATTAATGATGTCTGTAATTGTACCATAGGTGTGTCTAACCTGACTGATCAGTGTGAAAATTCTAATTCTTTATCTTATTATAAAAAAAAAAAAAGAAGTTAAATACAAATCCAAGGTTATTCTTCCTTTGCTCTCATCGTTACTTGTTGTACCATAAGCAGTGTCGGCTAAGCCAGGTACACTCGTGTGACAAAGTTACAGGAACTTCCAGCTATCCTAAAGGACCAACAAAAAGACATATACACCAGAGATAGTAATGAAATCCTTTTTGTGTGGTGGTAGGGTTAGATCTGAAATGTTTGCATGCAGTGAGAGAATGAATGATTAAAGTTATGAAAACTGACAAAAGGAGCATTTTTCTGGATATTTAAATTGGCTTATTAGATTTTTTTTTAAATAAAGAATCACTAACTTTTTGCAATGACAAATTTAAAAAGACTTGACCAAAATTAAATTTTCAGTTTTGAAACTATTTTATATATACACATATCTGTGTGTGTGACTGTAAATTCTAATAAACTTTGTTAGCTACAACGCATCGAACAACTTACACTATACAAAACTAGTTTTCAATTCTAAAATTGTCTTCTATATAAAAATCTTGTTATTACGGTAAGTCAACATTGTCTTAAACCATTCATACTGGACAAATTATATTGTAAATGTCTTTATTTAATACTTTTTTTTGTTTAGGGTAAATGCTATGTTGTCTTTATCTCAATTACACTGATCAGGATTTTATCACGTTGCCTGTGTCACAAGGTCTCTTGCAACTTGAAAAGCTGCAATCAATGAACTTAGCTGTATCTTTTCACTCGTCCCTGAAGCCAGGCGATATCTGATAATTAAAAATAATAAATATGTAAATAAATTAACAATAATTTTCTTTTTAACACCTGCAAGTATTCTATGAACTCGGTTGACTTTGGAGTAATAACAAAACGAAGGTTTTAGATAATATTTGAATTAAAAATAACAAATACCAATATACTGAGAACAGATTTTGAAAGTTGAGGAGAAAATTAAATGATGGGTTTATATTTTACAGTACCCAGAGAAAAATAACAAATCAATTAAATCAAATACAACATTTTAAATAATACATAATCTCAAAAATGGCCAGTAACAAAACAGCTTAACATAAAAAAATTGGTTTTCAAACTCCAGTTACAACACTATGTAGCTGGTTTCAAACCGCCAAAAAACCTGTCAGCTCTCACTTCTTAGCGGCCAAAAGAAAATGGACACAGCTAGAATAGCATGAGAAAAACATCAAATCAAGTGAATATAAAATAAAAGGTGATTTCAGAATGAACCTATGATCACAGATAACATGATCAGATGTAATACTGTATATAAAATATGGTTTCTCACAAGAATTTTCTTAAAAGATGATTCCAGTGAATAAAGACTGACTGGTCACATTTTTGTAAAAATAAAACTTGCCTTGAACAATGACCAGGGTGTTGTTCCTGACTTACATAACATGATCAAGCTCCTCAAATGACCATTAAGAATGATTAATAGCAATAACAGAAAGGTATTCTTTGTATAATCTCCAAAGGTATTTTAACTTAAACAGCACCTCAAATGACACATGGGGGGAAAACATCCAGGTCAGAGATCCATAAGGCTCAGATACAAACCTGTCTAATTTAGAACTTCTGATCAGGATGAAAGTAATTGCAGTCCATGCCATTTAAATAAATAGTGAATTTGAATCTGCAGCCCAGTACACTAATCACTAGGCTATGTCTAGCCTTTTAAATCTCTAATAGAGCTTGTTGTGGATGATCATAACCCAGTACACTAATCACTAGGCTATGTCTAGCCTTTTAAATCTCTAATAGAGCTTGTTGTGGATGATCATAACCCAGTACACTAATCACTAGGCTATGTCTAGCCTTTTAAATCTCTAATAGAGCTTGTT